TTTGATTCACACCTCTAATTTGTCGTAATTATATTTGCCCACTTCATACTTACCTCAATAAATTATATGCCATGTTAGCACATACTTAGTATGTGTATTTAAAGTCATATCACTGTCTATTAAATAATTGATGTTGTAATAAAACAATCAAATCCATAACCTCCCCATTTTACCCTATACATACATACATATACAGATACATACATATACAATTTACAATTTACAGTCATATGTGTAAATATATTTATCTCTTTTTCTTTAAACAGGAATCAATATTTTTCACTCTGACTATAATAAGATTATGATTTTGCAAATATGATAATTAAAAAAAAAAAAAACTTCACGCTTTTATTTGGACATTTTAACATAGTTTTCTTTTATCCTCATATATCACTCATTTCTGTTACTCCACTAATAAGACTATATCATTGATAGACTGATAGAGATGCTTTGAGGTTATTTAATATTTTTCGTGAGGGAGTTTGGGTTTGACATTTTTTTTCTATATTTTTAAATTTAGAATGTTATTGTTATTTTTACAAATTTTAGACTCGTTTTGCCATATATGCAAATGAACATTTTTACTTTTATATTTGCATCAAGTCTTTAAGAGTACTGTGTTTGGCTTCATTAGTTAGGTGTTTGTGTAACTCAATAATAAGAAGCCAAACTTATATTTGGTACATGCGTTTGCTTATTCGTCGTTACAAGTTTATTAGTCTAAAATTTATTTATAAATCACAAATTATAAAATTTGCTCGTTTTAGGGTATACAATGACTTTTACAAATTATAAACCCATAAATCAAATACAAAGTTACAAAAATTCAATTTTCTATAACTTAGTAATGTGTAGAATTTAAATTCAAATTATAATTAAAGCTCAAACTTTATAATCTTTTAAACTTATTAAAATTGGGAGTAATTTTTTTTAATTAAATATTTTCTATTGACACGTTAATTTATTTAGTAGGTCGGTAGATAGAAGGCATAGTAGGAGGAATTTTTTCTTTTTTGCTTTTTTCTTCTAAATTTGAATTTCATAATTAATTATTTGGAAAAGAAATGAAGGAAAGTTGATGGTATTAAAATATGTTGATGGCATCATAAGTTAGGCCACGTTTGGAGGGCACAAAAAGAGGAGGCTAGGAATTGAAGGTGCACATTTAAGACCATGACCACATTTAAATTAGACTTATTTTGTAAATTTGCTAACTAAAAATAAATAAATAAATATATCACATGATCTCTCATTTTTTAAATAATTATATTTAATCTTTAAAATTCTCAAAATAAGGTTATTTTTTAAAAAAATATTTGATAAAATTTATGGACAAAAAAGGTTATGTATCTCATTAAATTATTTTTTTTATTAACATAGTTTGAACACGTATGACATAGCATTTTGAAAAAAAATTTAATGGGTAGGTCGGATTTTGAGGATGGCTACAGTTGGATATCATATGTCAAATAGTATAGAGTGACATATTTGCAAGGTCCAATACGATATGCTTAATCAACCTTTTCTTGACAGATTTTTTTTTCTCCCTTTAGGGATAATCTAGTTGAGAGTTTTTAATACATTAAAAGAAAAATAGAGAATTTTAAAAGATGAATGTCCAAATTGAAAATGATCGAGATTGAAGATTATGGTATATATTTTGCTAAAAAGAAGTTACTCTCATTTTTCTCTTTTCCATATTCCTTTCATATTTATTGTTGAAATAAAAAGACTGTCTTTGTTGAAAAATGTTGAAAACATAGAAACAAAATGAAAAGGCACAATGATAATTTTTTTTTCTTCCTTATCCTCATTATAAATACATGTAGAATTTGATGTTCTCAGTCAAATTTTCTAATGTTAATTGTTGGGAAATATTCAACGTACGGGGCCAATTTAGAAGTCAAACGTGTGCGTGGTTTGTTAATCGAAGAGTAAAAATTTACCACAGTGAGGCCAAAATCTTTCATGAATCTTTAAATATATCACCTATTTTTAAAAATTTTAAATATAATAAATATTTTTATTTATATTAGTAGTTTATCAGATATTTACATCACACGCTTATATCAGTAGTATATTAGATGTATATCACATACATATTGCGAGTATATTTGACACTCATATAACATATAACAGTATACCAGATGTATATCACATAAATATATCAGTAGTCATATATATTACAGGTATATTGTAGAAATATTACAGATGTATATCATTTGGGTAAAGTTGTCGTTTCAAAATTGGACCTCCATTCTTAAAAAAGAAATTGCTATATTTGAAACAGGTTGCTAATTTGGTAATTTTACTATTTTTTTTTTTTTTTTTTGTAATTGTCCATGTTAATATTCGTATATATCTCTTCATATTGCTAATAATTTGATTGAAAGTAAATTTAAAAACAAAGAAAATTTTACTAATTTTTATGCAAGCTGAAAATTTTCATTATTGTGAGTAATGGAAAATTAGGTGTGGAGGTTTAGGAAAAAGAAAAAAAGAAAAGCTATTTAGTTATAATGGAAAGAACCAATCACATGGCATGAGAGTCATGTGTACTTTTTTAAGTAGATGATTTGGCTCACAGACCCCTTGCATTGTTTTTTGATCATTTGTTTAGTGGCATAGAAAAAGAAAAAGGTAATATTGACTTCTAACTCACATGCTGATTCAAAATTAGAAACTTTGGACTCAAAACTCTCCACCAAAGTCAGAGGAAAAAAAGAAATTAGGTTTCGTTTGGTCAGTGATCTGCATCTAAAACCAGTGATTTAATGAAAAATATAGTTATATTCTTTGTTTTTAACGTTTTTGGATATATGTTTGGTGTCAAATTTAGAAATTGGATCTTAATTTTAAAAATGGTTTAATGTATATTTAGTAATATATTTGTAAATTACTCGGGCTTGTTACAAATTACATATTTAGTTTATTCTAAAATAATATTTATTAATATATCAACATTTCAATTTTTGCATTCTACAATATTATATAATTTATAATACTTTATATTTTCTATGTTTTAGTTTTATGAATTTATAACCTGAAATAATATATTTATCAAAGTTTTTATCTCTTCAATGTAATTATGTATTTTATAGTTTCAAATTTAAAATTTAAAAATAGTAAAA